ATAACGCAATTCAAAAGCATTAATAAATGTTAATTTACGGGTATTTTTTTACAGTGTTTATCAATTTCTTTTAAAGTATGACCCTTTTTTGCAAAAACAAAACATATTTCAAATAACCAACCAGCTCAGATTCCCATTGAATACTCCACCATAGAAATACTATTAATATAAATAATACAAATACCTTTTAGCTGTCAATTCTGACTTTCTCACTTTGCTAGTTTCTACATAAGAATTTTGCCTTTTTTGTAAAATGACGAGTTTATATTGAACTGAGTTGAATATATCTTTCATGCAGTTCATGCTAGAACATAAATTAACATTAACTAATGGAACACTCTAAGTTGACCATACAAAGTCTATGGGAATGTCCCACAAAAGAGTAAACAAAATGAATAACTAAGAAAGGGTGAGTAAAGGAGTAATCCATACACAATAAAAATTCTGTGAATGAATATGTCAACGGCGGTTCATTCCGCTGTGGCAAACCCCTGATGAATAAAGGGACTAAACTGAAGGAACAAGAATAAATGAAAATGTCAACACTAACCAACACATTAGGTTGCTATTGATGATCATTCTTTTCTGCATAAGTACATTTTCCAAAATAGCTTCTCTTTTTGTTCAATGTGGAGAACAATTATTCTTAGATTTGTTTAAGGTGCCACCCAATAATAATAATAATAATAATAATAAGTTATTCCATAAATAATGAAAATATCTTAAAGAATGTAGGTAATCAAACAGTGCAGATTCATATTGATTTCCATTATATTTTAGACCATATACAGTAAAAGAAAGCTGGAATCGAAACTGCTTTGTTTACAACATTTTTCCAAATATCTTATTTTGTTTTCAACTAGAACGCCACAAGGGTCAGTAAATTTGAGTTAACAGTCCTCTCAAAAATTAAAAAGGTCATCTTTTACAATCATTTTGTTCCAAATATTTTCAATCTGTTGGTATAAATTTGGCTCCCATTGACATCTTTTTTAAAACTATGCAAATGAAAGTCTATGGGATTCGAAACTGTTTAATTACCAACATGTTTTACTTTTGTTCCACAAAGGAAAAATCAATCACAAAGGTTTGGACTGACATGAAGTGGAGTAAATATTTTCGAAATCCTCCTCCTTTACACATGTATTTAAAGTGGTTGTAAAGAAAGAAACATCATTTGAGCAGCAAATCAACCAAAATCATAAGAAAGCTGTGTTTGTTTGGACAGAAAAATCATAAAAGAGTCTTCCTTGTTTACCTGTGCGAGTCTGCGCTCAGCTTTGTTTGCGATCCGTGGTGTATTTTTCATACCTAAGTCATGTTTGTCCTGATTTGTGTTTATTTGCTCGTGTTTTTATTGATTTGTCTGTTTGGGAGCGCATTTGACGGGCCACATTCATCATGTGTTGTTTAGACACGGCTGTGATCAGTGCAGCTGGGTGCTTGGCAGGGTTTGAGGGGGTCATAAATATATTTCCCATTCATTTCGCAAAGCCACGAATTGTTTCCCCAAGGGGATCGTTCTTCGTCTCACTTTGATCACAGTATATCATACACAAACATCTAAATCGGACGGCTAATCAAAAACGTCTTCCACAGAGGGAAAATGCATGGCTGGCTTCGACCACAACTGAAAACAAATCCACTTAGCCTGGGTTTTGCCTATGTGTCAAGGGGAACGGCGAAGCCACAAATCAAACCAGTCCAAACTTCTGCAGCTATCGAATCACCAGCTGCTCTCTTATATGACCGAAGACGCTCCAGAAGTTGGCCGACACGATAAAGCGTCAGCCCAGAAATTAAAATGCTAACTCACGTGCTCTTCACAGATAGCCAAACCATAATATTAGTCCTTCGACATGGCTTTCCATAACATTTACATCACATGATCCTCTTCAGCGTTTTGGTAGGATTTACATTGTAAACAGTGGTGTAAATTAACAAATTACAAATGCTTAAATTAACTGAATAGTTTTTCTCAGGAATTGTAATTCACTAAGTAGTTTTAAAATTGTGTACTTTTACTTTCCCTTGAGTATATTTTTAAAGCTGTATCGGTACTTTTACTCCACTACTTCAACCTGAAGTCACTACTTTATTATTTAGTGTCTATGGGGTCTATCGTGTGATTCCTGTCCAATCAAATAGCACATAGAAGGTAAATTGCATCATAATGAACTACCTCAAGACGTGAGCAATTTATAATAGCAGCAAACTGTTTGGAAGTATTAAAAGTGTCCAAGAAGATGTCCAAAATCTTTACAATCATTGACCCAGAGAGTGTTTAGATGCATGTCACTGATAAGAAGATGACGGATGTTTACTTTATGTTGACTAAAAGGGCCTTAAACACCCAGCAGGCACAAGACGTCAATATGGCGTCAGATTGACATTGTAACCCAATGTCGTGAGGACGTTGCATTTTGTTTGGAAATGAAAATCGTTTTGACGTCAGAATTGAATGTCAGGCTGACATCAATGTCCAACAGCCAACCTAAAATCAACCAAATATGAACATCTAATGACATTACAGCTTGACGATGTGTCAACATTACCACTATCACATGCTGAATTTTGGTAGCCATACCTGATGAATAAATGTCAGTATTTGACGTCAATATGATGTTGGTTTAAGACATTGGCAACGTTGGATTTTGGTCACTTTACAACACAACCTAAAATCAACCAAATATCAACATCATTCGACGTTTTTAGGACATTAAAATAACATTGTCTTTCGACGCGGACTAGACTTTGACTTCCGGTCACCTGACATCACAACCTAAATCTAACCTAATATTAACATCTTATGATATTGTGTGCCTGCTGGGCAATCACTAAATGCACTACAGAATGTTACGTTTACACACGTCCACAAATTACATGTAAATGCATCAGCTTTTTACAGCGTAAAACTCACTACTCTTGAGTATGAAAGTTCTGCTTTTATTCATACTTTCAGTAATATTTAATTAAAACATACTTTTACTCTACTTGCACTACATTTTTAAGCAAGTAATGGTACTTTTACTTGAGTTTGATTTGCAGGTACTGAATATTAAAGTTAATTTTTTTTATTAAATGTATTCTTTTTGTGCACTTAATTGAGAAATTTAATCCAGAAAGTCATAAAAATTCATGAAAACTTTTGTTTATTACAAGGTTTATAGAAGACATGAACTATGTTGTAAACTTCATCTGAAAAAACTCAACTTGAACTTAGAGTTCATTAATACAGTTAAGGGCAAAATGATTAGCCCTTCTGTGAAATTTTCTACAGAAAGTGCTGTTTAACAGAGCAAAAAACAGTTAACATTTTTTCTTCTGGAGAAAGTCGTATTTCTTTTATAGTCTAGCTGGAATAAAAGCAGTTTTAAAAGTTTTAAAAACAATTTTGAAGGTCAATATTATAAGCCTCGGCTAAAGAATTAGTATTTTTTGGGAGAGATTAGCTACACAACAAACCGCTTTTGTCCAATGACTTACCTAATAAACCTTACCTAGTTAACCTAATTAATCTATAAGCTTTTAAACTGCACTTTAAGCTGAATACTAATAACTGGTGAAATATTATGTATTGTCATCATGCTAAAGACAAAGAAATGAATTCATTAATTTTCCTTCAGCTTAGTCTCTAATTATCACAGGTCACCACAGTAGAATGCACTGCCAACTAAATCAGCATATGTTTTTCAGCAGTGGAAGTCCTTCCAGCCACAACCCCATAATGGGAAACACCCATACACTCTCCCATTCACACACACACTTATACACTACGGCCAATTTAGTTCATCCAATTCACCTATAGCAAATGTCTTTGGACCTTGTTTGAAATCTTCTCTCCATTAAACAGCACTTATGAAAATATTTTAAACTAATTAGAAATTCACACGATGGCTAATAATTTTGACTTCAACTGTACAATACAATTTAAGAGTCTGGGGTCAGTGTTTTTAAGTTAAATTTTACTTAAAATGCATTTCTTCAGTATATTTGCATTTGGTTATTCAATAAAGTTAAAGACAATTATAATGTCATATTTTTATTTTAAATATATGCTGTTCCTTTGAACTGTTCATCAAAAGTAAAAGAAAAAAATGTTTGTAATAATAATAATAATAAATATTCTTTGATGCTTCAAGCTAAACTCTTAAAAATAAAAGTTTCGTAAAAGAATCACTGTAAACTCCCTTTTTGTAATCTTTAATTATTTAAATGAAAATAGCAGAAAACTTATTATAATGTGTCTGTCTGTTTTGCATTTTACTGTAAAACCCTTTAAAAAAATCCAACCAAGTGTTGATTTGTAATTTTTTTTAATAACTCAGTGATCATTGAACATTTGCAGTCAGTAAGTAAACAAGTCTTCGGCAAGGTAAGAGAAAATATACCCATACTATATAATTTCCCCCCTACTGTCCATCTACAGTAAACTAAACCCAAATGCACCAATATTGTGGAAAACTAATCAAAAAATGAAATCTGTGGGAGTCTAAAAATGACTCCATCAGTAAACACAAAAATATGCTGCAATTTGCATTTTCCTTTGTTTCTTTACAAACAGACTAGGAAAATACTTCATCTATGCTGTCACAGATTTTGTAAAAATGTGATTTTGGCAATCATTGTAATATGTTTTATCAAAAAAACTGTCTAAATACAGTAGCAATCAGTTAAGGAAAAACAACCAAGAATAAAACAGTGCAAAAAATCCTCTTTAAGGCACTCGTATGGAATGTTTACAACATCCAACCTTACATTTATTTACAAAGTCAATCTCAAGAATCAAACGTGTATAAAACCCAAAGTCTCTTCAAAAAGTACGACCACCATTAAACCCCCTTTTAACTCGACTAATCTACCAAATTAAGACCCTGCGAGCATCTGTTTCACAGACCAAGAACAAACCCGATATCACTCAGACTGAAATAACCTGTGCTCGTTGTTAATGGAGAACCAACACAGCTGATTCCTGAGGAGATTGTCCAGACTTGCGGGCATCATAAATGTGCATGATCGGAGCTCTGATCGCTGTCGTGACTGTCGTCCTCATTGCTGGGAGAGCCGATAGGATGATGGAGTCCCACCATCGGGGAGAATTCAGAGGGTAAGAGAGTCCCTTTCTTTACGTTCACCAGCTCTTTCTCTCTAGCGGCGGCTCCCTGTTGACCTCCTTTCACCCGCTTCCACTTCATCCGTCTGTTCTGGAACCAGACCTTCACCTACGTGCAGAGCAAATGATGTTAATGTGGTCAGAGAAAGTGTAGAAAAAGGTTAAGATGGCTGAACTCTAATAGGCAGAATTAAAATAAAACTAAATTCTAAGAAACATTAAAATTGATTTTGTTTTCATAATTCATTGTAATGCATTGAGTTTCTCAGGTGTGTGTGTGTGTGGGGGTACTTTTTACCAATTTTACCGTAAATATACAGACTAAATTATTAAATTTTTACAGTTTATATTATATGTTAGGTATGTTTAGAATAATATGCAATTGCACTTTGAGCTGAATACTGGTGTCTTGCAAAGTAGCTAGTAAAATATAATGTACTGTCATCATGTCAAAGACAAAGAAAAGGAAAAATAATGCCTAGTACATTTTACCATGAATTACTGAAAACAAGTTTTTACACAAAGAGTTTACCAAGAGTTTATATAACAGAATGTTTCGTCAGGCATATTTAGAGTCATATGTGTGATACAGTTGAAATCACAATTATTAAGCACCCTTTTATTTCTATTTTTCTTTGTTAAATATTTCCCAAATGATGTTTAACAGGGCAAGGAAATTTTCACAGTATGTCTGATAATATTTTTTCTTCTGGAGAAAGTCTTAATTGTTTTATTTTGGCTAAAATAAAAGCAGTTTTTAATAAAAAAAAAAAAAAAAACATTTTAATGTCAAAATTATTAGCCCCTTTAAGCTATATTTTTTCAATAGTCTACAGAACAAACCATCGTTAACCTAATTAACCTAATTAAGCATGTCACTTTAAGCTGTATAAAAGTCTCTTGAAAAACATCTAGTAAAATATTATGTACTGTCATCATGAAAAAGATAAAATAAATCAGTTATAAGAAATAATTTATTAAAACCATTATGTTTAGAAATGTGTTAAAAAAATCTCTCCCTTAAACAGAAATTGGGGAACAAAATAAATAGGGGGTCTAATAATTTTGATTGCAACTGTATATTAATGCTCTTAAGGATCCCAGTACAATCTCAAACAAATAAATTCACTGACATTGTATGATTTTAAATCTTTATACTTGACACTTTGAATGATTTATTATATATTATATGTAATTTATTATATAATACAACATGATCACATTTTCCTAAATGTAAATGTATATATATATATATATATATATATATATATATATATATATATATATATATATATATATATATATATATATATATATATATATATTTAAGTACAGGTAAGAATAAGTGTGTATAATTTTTCATATTTTAACTGTTACATAATTTTCCGGTTACCCTGAACATTAAAATTGACACTTTATTGGCATTTAATACGTTTTGTCGAGTTTTTGTTATTTTAGATTTAGTGATAAGCAAGTAGCAAACATAACTTAAATTCAATTAAATAATTGAACTAATTAAAAAAATGATAATATAATTTTGCATATATTTTATTATATTTTGCATAAATTTCATATATTTTATTGTCATATTTTTATTTGATCATTTATTATGTATTTATTGCTAACATAAGGTTATCAGCAAACAATATGACAAATAATAGACAAATAGAAGTTTTTGAATTTTGAATTTTTTTTTTCAAAATGTTTGGCAGAGCTGTTATTCAGTAGTCAATTACACACAATGTTTACATGACTTGAGTATCTTAGCAACGCAGACGTCCAAGATCTGCATCAGGGAAACTCAACGCCACTTTGTGCGACCGCATGTTAGGGTGTGTGTTATGGCACTTTCCAGAAAGACTTGTTTTGGCACACAGACCCCGCTCTAAAACCACCATCGAGCCCCTCTGTATCTTCATACGTGTGCATGTGTATCAGATTGGATGAGTGACAGATTTAAAGCTTTTGCCAACACAGCACTCAGATCCCACACATACAGACCACATACATAAACCAAGTAAAACACCTCATTTCAGATCTGCTTTTAATCTTTAAGCTTCCCCATATGGTACTTTTTTGTTTTTTATCCTGGCTAAAATATATGCTAAGTATATTTTAAACTGTGAGGCTCAATGAACTCAAAGACTTTTGGTGCTTGTTCAAACTACTTGTTTAAAATGAGTAGAAACGACACAATTCTTACGATTTTTTGGGAGGACAACTTAATCGTTTATATTGAATCTACTTACATTTGTAAAGACGATTAATAAATTTGTGCTGTGACAGCATTTTTTCAAATAATAAAAAATATGTTACTTTCAGCCTATGTTATGTACGGATTTTAAAATACAGCCGATTTTGTCTGTTAAAAATGACCTATTTTTATTTTTGCTTTAAATATTTCGGACATTAAAAAAGATTTTCTTCAAATGTATATTTATAGAAATAATTCGGCTAAATACATATTATTAAATACGTATTTTAAAAAAAAAGACATGGCCATAAGTGTTTTTTTTTTTTTGTTTTTTTGTAGAATATACATATAATGTGCAGCATATTGAGTACACCCCGTTTTGAAAATGAATATTTTTATCAATTTCTCAGTGAATGCAGGCAATGTGCATTTAAACAAAACAGATTTATTAAACAGATATATTTATTAAAATAATATTTTAGTCAACAAACATATTTTGAAATTGAAAGATACTACAACTAAATTCAAGCAAAATATTGAGAGAAAAAAACACACAATTTCAATATTTTTTTTCCTCTTTTTAAAATATGTATTAAATATTTTTTCTATAACATACAAATTTGGGTGTACAGATTTTTGGACCGTTATCATAAGTTATTTTATTAGATTAGCTCCAGATTTGGCTTTAATACTGACTAATCTAATGTATATGCACAGATATAATATTGTATAGCTTCCTATTAAAAACATTAATTTAAAAAATAGATTTGTGAGGACTGTACTTATATATGCTGAGCACTGTATACACCCAACAGCTATTTTAAAATGCATTTCAGGGTCAAGAAAACAATGTAGATTAAGATCTAAAGTTATTTAAAATAAAACATGATCTAAACTAATTCCAGTCTAAAATAGTTTGAGGTAACAGAAATATATAATATTATTTGTCTGATTTTTGTCTGATAAAATGACTTTTCTTTATTTTTGCTTTATTTCAGACATCAAATAAGATTTTCTTCAATTATTACATTAATGTATTTTCTTTTAAATAATTACATGGCATGAATGTTTTTTTTCTTTTTTTTTTTGTAGAATATTTGAATAAGTTGCTCAGCATAACTGACTATACCCCGTTTTGAAAATAAATAATGAATGTTTATCCATTTCTCAGTAAATGCAGGCAATGTTTTTTTCATGCATTTAAACAAAACAGATTTATTAAACAGATATATTTGTTAAAATAATATTTTATTTACCAAACATATTTAGAAATTGTTAGATAAAACATTAAAACAAATAAATTCGAGCAAAATATTGCAAAAACTAATGACAAATCTCATGTGAATTTTTCAATTTCTTTCCTTTTTTCTTGATTTTCCTCTTTTTTAAATTTGTATTTAATATTTTTTTATTACATATAAATTTTTATAGTAATAGTTTTTAGACCGTTTTTGTAAGTTATTTTGTTAGATAAATTCCAGATTTGGCTTCAGTACTGACTAAACTATAGTATATGCACAAACATAATATTGTATAGCTTCCTATTACAGGGTTTCTGCAGGTTTCACCAAGTTAAATTTAGGACTTTTAAAGACATTTTCAAGGCCATTATAAAACAGCCCAGAAGGAAAAGATTGTTATTTTCATTCATTCATTTTCTTGTCGGCTTAGTCCCTTTATTAATCAGGGGTCGCCACAGCGGAATGAACCACCAACTTATCCAGCACGTTTTTATGCAGCGGATAACCTTCCAGCTGCAACCCATCTCTGGGAAACATCCACACAAACACTCATACACTACAGACAATTTAGCCTACCCAATTCACCTGTAGCGCATGTCTTTGGACTGTGGGGGAAACCAGAGCACCCTGAGGAAACCCACGCTAACGCAGGGAGAACATGCAAACTCCACACAGAAACGCCAACTGAGCGGAGGCTCGAACCAGCAACCCAGCGACATTCTTGCTGTGAGGCGTCAGCACTACCTACTGCGCCACAGCGTCGCCTAGATTGTTATTTGACCTATCAAAAAAAATGTATATTAAAAAATACATTTAATAGTACAAGAATAATTAAATTAAAAAAAAAAAATATTTGAGATTTTTCTTAGCAAAATATTTAAAACATTGTGTAAAAACAAGCAAGCTCTACTTGTATCCATACACTTTTTTTCAACAAACTTTCTTTAAAATAAAAAATAACAATAATAACTGTTTTAAAAACCAGAATAAACTAAATGTATGCACAACAATCTGTCCAGAAATGCGTTTCCCAAACAACGACTTAACTCCCAGCTGACTTATCATGGTACGATGCATCGTTTGGGAAAAGAACGATGTAGTGACTAGTGTTTCCCAAAATGCATAGTTTCTCTGTCGCAGATCCATCGCTTGAACCATGTTAGTTATAAAGTAAAACGACCATAATGATGCTCTAAACTGGGTGGAGTAACTTCTTTAGAGAAGAACCCAATCATTTCTTTGTGCAAATTATATTGTTTTACACAAACATGCATTTAAAATAAAATCCAATAATAGATTTGGTAAAAAACATGCACTCGCTTTCCATATTAATTCAAATTGATGGCACATATAGGGCCTATGTTTGCTTTACAAATATTATTGAGAATGACATATCATATTCTAAAACATAAAAGTCTACTTTTACAATTTACACTTTTAAACCACTGCAGAAAGTTCTAACCAGCAGGCCCATGTCATAAACCTATAGTTTTCGCCATAAGGCTGTGTTCAAAATGACATCAATGTTTTCAAAGTGCACTGCGAAGGGAGCACAATTATAAACATGAAGATCGCTAAAACTGAACTGTAAAAATAGTTATAAAGCAAATTACACCTAAGAGAGATGACATTAATGCTTTTTTACTTTTCATAATTACAACTTTGAATGTTAGAATGTTTTAAATGAATAGGGCATAGGGTGGATAAGTGGAAATAGAACACAGGCAGGAACTATGTTTCGAACTACAGCCCTAAAGGTATAGTTGCCAGTGCTCAAGTTTGCGACGCAGTTTGCGAATGTTCGTTGGAGCGACAGATTTGGGAAACGGCAAATCAACAAACTATGTTTGTAACGACAGAACTTGTGACCTTAGTTGGCTAATGATGGTTTTGGGAAACGCACCCCAGGTCGGTATCCTCAGCAGTAAATACATGGAGCACTTTTAAACAAATGTTATTGTAAGCAAATTAATTAAATTTATTGAGATGGATTGTTGGTGATTGAATGGGTTTTGCCAGATTGAGTAGCTGTACATGAATAAGGGAAAAATTAAGACCTGTTTAAAAAAGATTTAGGATCTACAACAAAATATTTCAGTAAATTAAAGACCTTTACGGCCTAAAATTTCGATTTTGGGATTTAAGACATTAAGTATTTTTAAGACCCCGCGGAAGCCCTGTGTTAGGGTTAGTAAAAAAAAAAAAAAAAGAACTTAAAAGATAGATTTGTGAGGGTTGTACTTATATATGCTGAGCACTGTATAATTATATATTTTTTAAACAGTTTATCAAATATAACCTTTTTGGGCTGTTATTTGTATTGTTTGAAATGTATTTGAAAGTATATTTTATTTACTGCATGGGCAAAGTAACTGCAGATCAGTGTTATTCTTTTCTGAAGCAGGTTTCTGGGAAGTTTGTAGATGATTGGCTCCAGCATTGGCTCACTGGTCTATTTCCACCTGGTCAGTAATGTGCTGATGTGAAGCTCCTGGTGACCCGCTGGCCCTCGTTCCAGATCCTGACTTGACACTCTGGTCGGCTCTGGGATGATCGAGCTGCAGCCTAAAACGGGCTGATGGGATGTGGAGCGAGCGGCGGCGCCTGACAGTTATATTTATATTATATTTCAAGCCTGATGGGGTTATTTTAGGAAGCGCAGCGCAGGTATTTTAGACCGAGCTCCTACATGAGTCAGCAGATTTCCTTACATGACACATTTTTTTGATTGAGCGGTGAGAAATGATTTCTGTTCAGCTGATTGGAGAAATAACGAGGGTGAAATGAGGCTTGTGAGCATCAAATACTTACTCATATATTTTAAAAGATCTGCTTTAATGTTTAAAATCACGTAAAATGGTAAGATATTGGTGAAATAACATTATCATTATTCAGTCCTACAGATACATTTATTGGTCATAATATTTCATCAGTTAATTTTACTTAATGTTTGTTAATGAATGAACAATGCATGTAAAGTATTTATTAAAGATAGTTCAACATTTGCTAATGGATTATTAAAACCCGAATTCATGCTTGTTTATATTAGCTAATACACACTGTGAGTTAACACATCAAGCATTAAACAACTATAAAAACATTAACTAATGTAAACAAAGATAAATACATATAGTAATAAATGCATTGTTCATTGTTTGCTCATGCTAGTAAATACATTAAATAACATTAACTAATACAACCTTATGATGAAGTGTTACCAATTTATTTAACAATAAACAACAAATACAAAATTATTAATGGAATTCGTAATTTTTTACACAATTATTTTGACAAAATAGATACTTATTAAATATGCTGTTAAAAAACAAAAATAAAACAGGTTTAAGTATCAAAAAGTGTAATTTCCTTTAATTTTTTGGGCAGAAAAAAAAGGAGAATGACATATTTAGAAAAATGTGTATATTTGGAACATTGGTGTATATATATATATATATATATATATATATATATATATATATATATATATATATATATATATATATATATTTTTTTTTTTTTTTTTTTTGATAAAATATTAAAAGACTTCATTTAATCATCCCATTTGTCAGTTTTTAATTACTAAAAAAATCAGAAAATTCAGTACCATCACATTTTATTTTATGCATATTTAAAAAGCACAGCTTAGAGTAAGTACGTAGTTTAATTTTTACATGAATATATCTGTTACATTTTCACACATTTTACTCTTGTTTTGACATTTAATTTTCACAAACATTATTTGAAGCATTAATTTAGGCATTATTCGCATTTAATAAGCTTTACTTTTAATAAAATACAGATTTGTAAACCTATTTGATTCCCCTACCAAAATAGCACATCTCCAAAAGGGAAGTTTTTCATACTTTAGGATCTAAGATCAACCCACGTCCACAGATTTATTGGATTTGAGTCTTTGGATAGGAAGCATTTGTGTGGAGGAGTATACAAAGAAGAAATGGGAATGAAACACAAAAATGCAAATCTTATGTGAGTTGAACATGCAGTAGGGATTTATTTTAGGTCAGGACTCAGCTTGAATGATCTTAAACTCAGGAATGGGTGTGTGGGATCTGTGGGCCATTTTGAAGAAAGCATTTGTACAATGAACTTCAACATGGTTTAGTTTTAAATGTTTTTAAGGAGTTAAAAGCAAGAATAGGTTATAGAGTAGGTTATCATGCTAAATGTTTTTATATTTTGAATTATTAAAAACCTCCTTGCTGAAAAATAGTTAAATTAAAAAAAAAAAAAAGATAGTGACAAAGTACAGAGATGCAAAATGAGTATTAGTAAGTATTTTTGGGCTGCATTGTGTTGATTAATGGATTTTATTACATGATGGTTCTCTATATGCCTCACAAGATGTGTTGGTACTATTTTTACACAGAATGACATGTTAGAGGAGGTCTTCTCTAAAAATGTTAACAAAACAAAATAAAATGAAAGATGACCTATTTTGTAAATCAGGATACTCATAATTTATTTCTTCTTTTTTTTTGAAGAAGAAGAAGAAAAAGGTTAGATTAGACATATATAACTTAATCAGACATATTGTAATATTTTTACAGCAAAGCTGAAAGTTTGAAAAAATTCTGGCTTTTCAACATAAATTGAAAAATGCAACAACAAATACTGCAATACTCAGTTATTTTAAACCTATTTGTTTTACTTTTGATTTATATTAAAGTCATTTTAGCAAGATACTAAGACACTAAACTTACCAAGTGACTTCTCCTCTGTATGCATTTTAAAGTCACTATTTTAAAGGTTTATATCATTGCAGCTAACTGGCAGATAGGAAAATCTGATGCCTCTGAATTAAATTTTTGACATTCCTGCTTGAAGCATTTTTTAGTACTTTTGTCCCTCTTTCTCTCTGTCATTTTCCCTCTCTCTTATCTAATAAAACCTATGATAATAACTAAACAAAAACAACTATTAAAGACATGAGATAAAGGGATACTTCACGTAAAACTTACATTTCTGTCATCATTTGCTCATCCAATACTGCAAACCTATTTGATTGTCTTCTGTTGAACACAGAAAAAATACTTTGAAGAATTTCGGAAACCATTACCCATTGACTTGTGTAATATTTTTATGTCGTTGGTGACAAGTATCCAACTTTTCTGAATATCTTCTTCTGTGTTCATCAGAAACAAACAAACAAACTCAAAGGTTTGGCACAAGAGAGTGAGAAAATAAGTAAATTTTCATTTTTGGGTGTACTATCCCTTTAATCATTATTCAATTTAACAATTTAAGTCATATAAGAGGTGATAAGTCCGTTTAATGCAATGCAATTTAAAAGTTGTTTAACGGTAACTTGATCCAACTTCACGATTGAAAGCAATTGCTTTTACAGAATAACATAAAGCATTGTGTTTATCACTTTGTACAACTTAATCACTTCAAGTCAGCCTATTGTCAGGAGTCAGCCTATTTTATTCCTCCATATTTTTAAAGCCAAAGGAAGTGCCAGTGTTATGTCTCCAGATAACATGCAAAAGCAGCTCAACGTACTTGTCTCTCTGTGAGGTCAAGGTTGACAGCGATTTCGTAACGTCTAAGCCGTGTCAGATAGTTGTGGTGAGCGAATTCTGACTCCAGCTCTCGAATCTGTTCCTTGGTGAACGCCGTGCGCTCCTTCCTAGGTTTACTGCTCACGTCTGACTTATAGCTCCCATCCTGGGAATCTGAAATGAAAAACAGATCACTTTCCAGCCGCTGTAAATGCACAGAAAAAGAAGGGGGGGAAAAAGCAAAAAAAGGGGGGAAAAAATAAGATGGTGTGATAAACTGCAGGGCTCTGAAATAAAATAAACGAACAAAAATAAAAATGAAAGCGGAACAATTTGGCCTGCCAATCAGGCTTTATTATGGCGATACGGCGGTGGGGTTTTTTAGCAAGCAGAGACGGAGCCAGAAAGCCCAGCACATGCTCTCAAATCTGGCCTGAATCACCAGGGCTTCGTTCACACTCTCCAACAATCAGATCAATTTACCCTTCGATTTCCACACATGGCTCCTTTAATAGAATTCATTGAAGGAACATTTCTGATTGGTCCAATAATTGTCAACTTCAACCCTCACTGTAACCGTGTTGACTAAAGTTTCTTACTTCATTTATTATAGTTATAGAAATAGTTATGATATATCATATTATGAGGTACAACTAAATTCAGCAAAAAAGGAACCAATTTTATTTTCTAAAATACATCATAGTTAAAAGTACAATATGAAATTATTGTGTGTCTTTATTGCTGAGGAAAAGTTAAAAACAGCTTATTACACATTACATGTTATAGCAATTTCTGAAGTTATGATGTGTCTTTATAATTGAGGTTTTTAAAAAATGCACTAATAAGAATAAATTGATTGAAGTTTGTTACACAGTATATTACAGTTAAAGCAATAGCAGTTATAGCAGTACATAAAGTTACAGCAATATATAGTTATGGTGTGTCTATTATTACATTTTTCTTTTTCAAAAATTGGATCATAATTGATTGAAGCTTGTTATACAGTATATTAAGGTTAAATCATTATAGCAGTTATAGCAGTACATAAAGTTTTAATGTCTTTAGTATTGTTAATGCAAGTAATCTGCAAAATCAGGAGAGGATTTTAAAGACTAATTTAAAAGGAAACGAAATAGAAAATTATACTGCCTGGCCAGTTTCTTTACAGTTTTTTTTTAAGTAATAATGAAATTGAATAGTTTAGGAGAGCACAGTATGTACAGTGGAAGTCAATTGAATTATTAGCCCCCCTGAATAATTAGCCACCCTGTTTATTTTTTCCCCCAGTTTCTGTTTAATGTAGAGAAGATTTTTTTCAACACATTTCTAAACATAATAGTTTTAATTTCTCATTTCTAATAACTGATTTATTTTAGCTTTGCCATGATGACAGTAAATAATAACTTACTAGATATATTTTTAAGGCTTTTATTTCAACTAGGTTAACTAGGTTGACTAGGCAGGTTAAAATATTTAGGCAAGTAATAATGATGTATAATGATGGTTCTGTAGACTATCGAAAAAAAATGTAGCTTAAAGTGGCTAATAATTTTGACCTTAAAATGTTTTTTTTATTATTAAAAATTTTCTAACTGAAATAAAGAAAATAAGACTTTATCTAGAAGAAAAAATATTATAAGACATACTGTGAAAATTTCCTTGCTCTATTAAACATCATTTAGAAAATTTTTAAAACAGAAAAAAATAAAAGAGGGCTAATATTCTGACTTTAACTGTAAAATCCAGAGCAAAGAATTTATTTGGTATTCATTTAATTAAACAAAATTATGCCAAATCATTTACTGTTAAAACAACAACAAATTATTAAAAACACTCAAATCATTTGATTCTATTTTATACATTGAGTTTTATACAAAACTAAATTCAAAGAATCTATCAAGTAGAAATAAATAGAAAAGTTGCTGCTTTAAATTCTTTAGTTGAATCAAATGAACTTTTCTAATCACTTCAACTTACATCAATCAAACTGACTCACAATATTAAGTCAACTTAACATTAAGTAACTTTGAAACCTGATTAACTTATTTTAATAAGTTAAAGAAACTTAAAAAATGTTTGTAACCTTGACTTTTTTGTCATGATTTCTTTTACAGTGTAAAATTTTAAATAAATATATTTTAAAAATAAAAAGGTCATTATCTGTAAGAGTTTCCAATAAATATCTTTTGGCTTTCCTTTCAGTAGATGGCAGTGATTTAGACATCAAATTTTTGTCTCCTTTAAAAACACAACTGCCCTAGAAATCCAAGTGTTTTTACATTACACAAGATTATGAGCTTTGAAAGTCATATTTCAATCCGACATCACTTTTCGGAATAATAATCTAAGATCTGTTGGGCCTATCACTGCTACATCTCGACACGTGACACCACTCTAAATGGAAACCACACTGCTTTTGATAACTGCCAACAGACTGGAGGAAATTGGATTTGGTATAAAGGCACAGCAACTTCCAACAGGAGCCTTCTGGAAACTTCAACAACCATTGGGCATATCCATTAGTATGCCATCATGTAATAAATTACAGACACCTAGATGAAAAACTACATGCAGGACTCGTCTCTGATGTACAGGAGAAGTTAGAGTAATTTACTTCAACTACAGTATAAAGACGGCAAAAATCACTCATTAGCTCAGAATCTATTGACTTTAAACAGAAATACTGTTCATTTTTTTTCCTAAGGAAAAATCTTGGTGTTCAACACAGGTTTATTATTTATATAAATTTATCAATTATATAAATTTTAAGCCACATAGATCACCAGGTGTTACTTTTTCTATTGTTCTTGAAATTTAAGGGTCACAATTAAAAAAAAAAAAGTCTCCAGCTGCAGATCTGACTGTTTTCTCCAGCCGTAAATGCTGTGTGTGTGTGTGTGTGTGTGTGTATCAAAAGCGCAGCTGCGGGCAGTGAGAGAGTTTAACAGCGGCTTTCACCTGTGCTCTATTAAAGACCTGAGGGTAAATGCCAGAGTGACTTACACCTCTGAGACTGATGAGAGAAAGAACCAAGGCTGCCTCGGCGCACCAGACCCTGCCATTAAAACACCACTGCGCCTCATCCCGCACAGACAGAACTTTCTTCTCTTTTTGGCTAAATTTGATATTTCTAATTCAAGAAACAATATCTATACATAAATGATAAACCTAACTGAGAAAACTGCTACAATTCAATTCATTTTAAACATTGCACGCTTCGCTATAGAGCAAATGTGTGGAACAGTTTGTGTGTGTGTGTGTGTGTGTGTAAATATGATCCTTATGTCAGATATGTAAAATGAATTGCAGTTTCATTTCATACATGCTGACTTTCGCTTTAACTACTTTAAATTTGACTTAAAAGCTACAGTTGATTCTCTACTTATTGTGAGTTTAATATTCTAATATTAAAACAAATCTATTTACTCTATTTAACATTTTTGCTTAACTGCACTAAAAAAATTATTCAAAGATGATTCCTGGGATTTACCTTTTTTTAAGTTAAGTGGCTGTAAACTATTTATTTGGGCTGAATTTAAACAAACAAATTAAGTTGAACAATACTAAATTTAATTAGTTTGGTTAAATTCAACAAAAATAAATAGTTTGCAACATCAATTTTCAGTGTGTCTAGATACTGTACAAATTGTGAACAAATATATAAAATATATTTTATTTAAATTTTAAATTTTGAAAGTAGACTTCAATCCGTTACAATTCGTTTAAATAATTCAAAATAATTTGATGTCAAAATATAAAGGTTGACTAAACTTGACTAAACTAAACACAATTGTCTAATGTTTCTGTTATATTAAACATAATTTAGCAAAAGTATACATTTTCCATTCATATTTTATACATTTTTGAAACATTAACAATGAATATGGATTCCCCCTTTGATTTTTTTTTCTTTTTTAAATATTTGAAAATGATGTTTAACAGAGCAAGAAATTTTCACAGTATGTCTAATAATATTTTTTCTTATGGAGAAAGTCATATTTGTTTTATTACGGCTAGAATAAAAGTAGTTTTAATTTTTTAATAAACATTTTAAGGTCAAAAATTGTAGCCCCTTTAAGCTATATTTTTTTGATTGTCTGCAAACAATTGTTATAAAATAACTTGCCAAATTACCCTAACCAGCCTAGTTAATCTAGTTAAGCCTTTAAATGTCACTTTAAGCTGTATAGAAGTGTCTTGAAAAATATTTAGTCAAATATCATGTTCTGTCATCTTAGCAAAAAATAATAGAATTCAGTTAATAAAAATTAAAACTTTATTAAAACTATTATGTTTAGAAATGTGTCGAAAAAAATCTTCTCTTTGTTAAACAGAAATTGGGGAAAAATAAACAGTGAAACTAATGATTAGGGGGGCTAATAATTCTGACTTTAACTATGATATGAAATAGTGCATCCATAGTTTCCTGAAAAAAAAGCAGCAAATGTTTGAGCAAATACTCGATAATATTTTTTTTTGATATTTTTTTCTGTAATAATTTATACTTTTGGAAATTGTTTTTAGAATCATAAATATTTGGAAAATCAATCAAATTCCTGACCAAAATGAGAGTCATAAACTATTCTGATCAAGTTTAATTAGAATTGAAATTCACTTCTCGAGTCATGACTTGGACACTAATAATAAATAATAAATGTAACAAGTTTCTAAAAATTTACTAAACCACTTCTTTTCTTCTGAATGCAAAAGAACGAGAAAGACAACACTGTGGTCCACGTACCTGAACTGTCGCTCTTTCCTTTGCTGCTCCTTCTTTCCGGCTCAACAGGTGACATGTTCTGTCTCCCGTACTCTCCAGGCACGCATGACACCCCAGAAGGGTCACTTCCAGTGAGTGTTGGGTTACCGGCGCACATGCCCTGCGAACCCGCTCCAGTGCCGCACAGTTCTGGAGCAGCAGCGTCCGGGTGCGGCAGACAGAGCCCGTGCCGCTCACTCTCTATTGACGGCATCTGTGGGACGTGCCACTGATGATGCTGCGGGTGATGTGGATGCTGCGGAGCGGGGTGAACTCTGTGATGAGCTCCTCCAAAACTGCTCTCCTCCCCGGCGTAGCTGCAGGGCGGTGAAGGTCCCGGGAGGTCGGGGTAGGAGATGTGATCAGAGCGGCCATGGAGTGCCTGGGTGAACGCCGGGTGCAGAGCTTGAGACGGGGCATGTGGGTTTCGAAGGCATCCGAACAGAGAGTGATCCATGATCTACAGATCCACAGAAAACACACAGCCTCGCACCCGTGGCCTCCGTAGTCCAGGCGAAAGGAAGAGGGCGATGAAAGGCAAGGCCTCCGGTAATCCTGAGCATGCAGCCCCGTTGCCAGGCCGAAAAAGAGGGTAAACACACACGCACACACACACCCTGCGAAAGAGGAAGCTCGGGTGACAGACGAGGGTAGAGAGAGAGAGAGAGAGAGAGAGAAAGAGAGAGATAGACAGAGCTGTCGGGGCCCAAGTGGAGACTGCACTGCTGGAGAAGTGGAGTTGGAGCGAGGGAACGAGGGAACGAGGGAGGGGGGGTTGAACGGCGGTGCTGGAGGAATGGATGTTATATATAGGGTGTAACATGAGAGGGAGGTTGGGTCGCTACTGACCACATGCATACAATCTTCCTCCAGAACAGCAAGGTACAATAAATCTGAGGCCAGCCAAGTAGTTCCGGGCTCACGAAAATGGAGGAAGGGGGGTGCGATATTTTGGACTCGGGCTATTCGATCTCATGGATGCTTTTTCTAAGAAATGAGGAGTTGCATAAGCAGCTAAAGAGTGAGCATGAAGGAAGGGGTTATGGAGGTTTGAAGGAAGGGATGGAGGATGGGGTGAGGGGTGCTATCTGGTGTCAATGTGTTTACCTAAAATCATCTTCCTAGCTACCTTTACATTTAGTCATTTAGTAGGCGCTTTTGTTTAAAATGATTAAAAAACAAGGAGGCATTCAGTAATTCAATAAGAGGCAATACGCACACAAGAAGTGCTAATTATACACACAAACTGTTAGAGTAAAGAATCATTTACACTACGAGTGACTCGCAATGGCAAAGCAACAAGCGACCATTCATTTCAAAGGAGAGCAATCGACTTCCGACAACCTCTGCGTAAGTGAGCGACAGTGTTGAGAAGTTGACAATCCTTCAACTTTATGCAAATGAGGAGCGACTTTCTTGAGCAACAGCTAATAGGAGCACCAGTAGAGCTCATGTGATGCTCTCTCAGCTCGCTCAGATGCCGGTTGTATTTGTGCTGTATAAACATACAAAGACCTGTGTATTCAGCAGATCGCCACCAAGAGCGACAGGCAGCTACAAAGTCGCTGCTAGTGTAAATGGCGAGTGTTTTTTTTTTTAAAGAGAAAGAGAAGTTTTTACAGGTGGTTTGTCAAGCCCACTAACCTGTGTGAAGCCCACTTCATAAATGCACAGTGTTTTTTTTATTGTGCATGTGTTGATTGTAAGAGCATACAAATGTGCAAAGATGGTGCAAGTGTCAGTTATAGTGTCAGAGAGATGAAAGATTGTGTTTTCTACAGAAAAGTGTGGACTTAGTGATTTTGGCGCCTTAAGCAATTCCAGGTATGGGGCTCTATAGCATTGAAACTCAAAATGTTCTCTTTCATTCATTCATTCATTCTCTTTTCAGCTTAGTCCCTTTATTAATCTAGGGTCACAATTGCGGAATAAACCGTCAACTTGTCCAGGATTTGTTTTATGCAGCGTATGGCCTTCCACACACACACACAAACACACACGCACGCACGCACGCACACACACACGGCCAATTTAGATTATTTAATTCACCTAGCACATGTCTTTGGAAATCTTCTTAATGTAAAATTAACCAATAAATTCACAATTAAAAAACAACTATGAACAAACTATTAAAACTAACTATGTACAGTTAATTAGTCATATCTGTGATTATGTTTTAATATTTGTATGTGCAGTATGGAAGGAGAGATCCACTATTCATGGAGGCACCCGATTTTAAAAAGAAGTAATAACGTTAAAATCTCAACGGTTATAGACGGACTTTACAACATATGATATAAAATTACTAAAAGAGCTATATGATTAATACAAGCTTCTTGGCATTGGTTGGGGCCCCCAAATTCCCCGGGGCTCTAAGCGGCCACTTACCTAGCTTATTGGTTAAGTACGCCCCTGTCTACAGGTGGTTTGTCAAGCCCACTCACCTGTTAGCACACTGTAAAACATAACAGTGAACTTTATCAAATGAAATGAGTGTAGTTAACTCAAAATTTACTGAAAGTTCATTATACTCATTTGAAACGAGTTTTGAACTCAGTGTTGAATGTAATTGGTCTCCTAAAATGTTTTGAGTTGCCTTAACTTATTGGGTTTCACAGTACTCAGTTGGTTTGAGTTCTGTTCATTTATTGGGTTTTAAGGTGCTCAGATTGCTTCGTTTACTGAAATGGATTAAGTATACAATACTCAGAAGGATTAGTTTTTGAACTTAAATGGTTTGTTGCAATTTGTTTCCTCAAACAGTTTGAGTTACCTTAACTTTTTAGGTTTTACAGTGCACCATGATATCCAAGCAATGCTTTATGACTTTAAAGAGGATTATTTTCCAGCAAAAAAATGTTGCAAAAAGGCATATCCAATGGCATTTAACAGAACTTCTTGTCTACGTAAAACTGCTAAAAGAAATATGTTTATGTTTTGGATAAAATGGCAATTTTTATTTTAAATTAAAACAGTTAATCAAATTCGATACTGACAGTCTGTCTACTCTGCAATAATTCAGAATGTGTTGCAAAAATCTGTCACTAATCCAAATAGCAAGCTGGACTTGCTGTAGCAGACATAAAACTATATGCAGATTTCTATAAATCTGTCTAGAAATAGATACGCTGGTCACTTGCAAAAAAAAAAAAAAAAAAAAAAATCTTGAGAACACAGATGCTGTTCATTCCTATTTGTATTTCTCAAATGGAAAACCATATTTCTCTCCCAGGACACTCAATGAAACAGAAACCTTTAAAAAGGCATATTTGCTTGTCATGAAAACTCCAAGTTAACAGTACAGGGAAAATGATATATTTTAACGAACATATTACTAAAAACAAAACCTATTTTATTGACTTTTATTCAGTGTTCAAGCTGCGAAATAAAATGATTGAAAGAACCATTTATTTTTTAATTTCACTTTATAGATTTTAACCACAATGAAATAACAACTCTCAGCAATGCAGAGATCATAAAGGATCTTGTTTTTTATGTGGTGGAAACTTGAAGAAAGTGCCACTCGTGAATGCACTGCACTTACAAAAAAAGCTGACAGAATGGAAATAAAACGGTTTAATCTTCTTTCAACAGTCTAATAAAATAATCATTAATATAGGCTTGCGGCAAGTCCATTGTTTATCAGAATCATTTCATCTTTTGTACATGATTACTTTGCTGTACATTTAATTAAAAAATTGCAATTGTTCTGAAGATAAAAACACTTTTCCCCCCAGTTTTATTGAATCCAGAACTCAGACTGGTAATTTAGCACTTTTATGATTGGTGTAGCTCAGCTGGTGCAAAAATATAATAAAAATAAATCAAATATATAAAAAAAGCTGTAGACTTTCCACCCATCCTTCCACCATATTTCACACAATACACCATTAGCGGCTCTGTATTCACCCCTGAATGTTGCTATTCAAAAACATCACCGTCTCAACCAAGCGTCTTTTACATTCAGCACTATCTCTACATTTAGATGACTGCGGTGAACCAAACACGCACATGAGCCTGAACCCAGAAAGGAAATTAGCTTCATTTCGAGGGGAAATGACTTTAACAGACCACCAAAAATCCAATGTGGGTGTTGCAGCTCGGCTCAGACTGACTGCTATGTCCAGTGGTCCTGTATTAAGCTTCAAAAGAAAATATAGTGTTTATTTAACAAATTAGGCCAATTAGTCGTTATGTAAAGTAATCTCTGAGAATAGCCCCCGGGTGCGTATTAATGTTCATATGGTTTCGGTTTTTGCCTCAGACCCTGCGCCATGTCATTGCCCTCCGGCCTCCGAGCGGTTATAAGAGTCTCTCCTTTTCTCCTCCGTAAGCCTCTGTAATAGTGAACCGCTAATTTGACAGGTCCCGAAGGAGAAGGGATTTTCTGCAGGAGACTCCTCTCACCTGGTGGCCAGTTCTTAAATGTGTGTGTGACAGAAGGTTGAGCTAGTCTGACAGCCTAATGCTTATTAGATTTTTGTCAGATTTCGAAGAGGCCTCTCCAGCCTGTCGGAGTCAATCAGACATGAACGAGAGGAAAACCAGACAGATGATTGTTAAAATAGAGCGATAATTTTTTCCGGGATTTTATTACCGTTGTTTTTGGGAGATAATTGGGAGTTTAAATGATAGCTTAGCATCACATATTTGTTATTTAAAGGGATAGTTCAGGCAAAAAAAAAGAAAATTCTGTAATTTTTTACTCACCCTCTATTAGTTTCAGAATTGTTTGAGGTTTTTTTTCTTCTATTGAACAGAAAAGAAGATATTATAAAGAATGTTGCAGCCATTGATTTCCATGGTATTTACTTTTTTTAAATTAATGACAATTACTACAGGTTTTCATTATTCTTTAAAATATCATCTTTTTTATAGTTATGTCTATAACATTAGTTTATTATATCAGCATTAGTTAACATTAGCTAATTTAGTGCATGTATTAATTTGTCAACATTAATTGATAACTCAAGTGCATTACACTGTAAAAATGCAGGGTTGCACACAATTCATTCATGTCCTCCTAACATAAATTGTTTAAGTTAACTTAATTGTTTTCACAAATTTAAGAGGATTGAACATAACATTTAAGTTGTCCTCAAAAAAACTGAAGACTTGTATTGATTCAGCTCCTTTTAAATACAGTTGAAGTCAGAATTATTAAACCCCTTGAATTATTACCTCCCCTGTTTATTTTCCCCTAATTTCTGCATAACGGAAAGTAGATTTTAACATGTTAGTTTTAATAATTCATTTCTAATAACTGATTTATTTTCTCTTTGTCATGATGACAGTAAATAATATTTAGATATTTTTCAAGACACTTCTATACAGCTTAAAGTGACATTTAAAGGCTTAACTAGGTTAATTAGGTTAACTAGGCAGGTTAGGGTATGTAGGCAAGTTATTGTATAACGATGGTTTGTTCTGTGGACTATCGAACAAATATAAAGGGGC